TGCTGGTCTTCTCAACTGAAAGTGCACTAAGGTGTAACCAGGACTCCCGGTCATTAAATACATCTCCATGAATGAATGGACTCTCAGGAAATGTCGCTCAGTCGGAACAGCGAGATTCCCCACCCCAGATAACCTGTCTACATTGGGACTAGTGTCGAGACAGTTGAGCCAAGTTATCCTGGGAAGCATGACATCTCGATAATTAACGACCTGAATCCCAGGAAAGCCATTTCCCAGGAAAGGTTGTAGTCGAAACAAAGCTATTGAGTAGTAAAAACAATTTTATTTATCCCTGGCGAAGCCGGGATACCCATGGCATTAGCCTTGTTTCGACTGAGACGTTAGCATTGTTTCGACTCAGTCGAAACTGGATAACGTCTCAGTCGAAACAAGGCTGTTATCCTGGGATCGCCCTGGGATAGTCAACCTCTGGGATTAGTCGAAACGCCGACTTTCACCCCCCTACCGCTGTGAGAAACGCCGCCGGGCAAACCGGTCAATCCCAGGATCGCTCTGGGACTGTACCAGGTCTAGGTCTAAGTCGGAACGCCTATCCTTTTATCTCTCAAAAGATAATTATTGCACCCTATGTGGAGCATGGGCTTATCTGGCGGCTGTTGAGGGCGTGCGAAAAATCCCCCCAGGCAAGGGAGACTCAAAAGGGGTAGGTTGGGCGAGGGGCAAGTGAGACATTCCTATGCATGCCATTATGGACCAACCCCAGACAGAAGCTGACTCGGAGAGCGACTAAGTCAACCCTAACGCTCTCTACTCCCAATAGCATTAACTTAAACCTTCTTTCCAACGATAACAGAGTTTTAAAAGGACCTCTAGCGTCCCTGAATCAAATTACACGGTACTAAGGTACCTTACGGTACCTTAACTACCCAAAGTTGCTTGTCATAAGTACGATCCACAGGTTACAGAAACTTTGTTTCAACGCTGAATCGACATCGTCTATACAAAGGTGCAAGACCACGCGGAGGTGACCGTAGGATTATTGGGAATGGTCCATATACTTGTTTCCAAACTAATAAAAAAAAATCAAATATTCACTGCATAACAACCCAGCAAAACAAACTAACATTCCATCAGCGTTGCATGAACGTTAAATTTGAACCTTCCCACTGTTGTACGTGGTAGTGGCGTTGCATCTAACATTAAGTCACTATTGCAATGTCGCTTATCGGAATACTCAGATGAACGTTGAAATTCAACACTGGCATGAACGTTGGATCAATGTTGCAATGTCACTTATTAGAATGCCCACTCCCAACCTAGTAGCACCCCAATATTGGGTTAATAATGACGGCAAAGGAGTTTATCTATTGTTCTGAAAGTACTAATCAAGGACCAGTAATAGAATAGGACCGGACATTCGGAAGCCACACGCTTGCACTCCGCGTATTAACATGGATGGCTATGTGCAGGCAGCGCTCCAAGCGGCTGCTGAGGAAAAACAACATTGCCCCATCGTAGTACATGTATTCCATCGGTCTCTGACCGTTACTCTCTCAGTTTTTAAGTGTGCACCTTATCAGGAAGATGAACTACACCATGAAACCTAAGAGTAATGTTTTGGTTGCCGATGAAAGTACATATTCTTCAATATTATCAGACGGGGGGGGGGGGGGGGAAGGAGCCGAGAAGCAGCATGCCTCAGCCGACAGAACTTCGAGCGTTGGGTGCGAGGTGCTTTGCGTGTTGGGCGTACAGTTTTCTGTGCGAAAGTGAATGAAAATTAGTTGTAAGAAGCAAACTTGAAGTTCTCCACCAGGAATGCTGCAGTTCTTTTCAACGTGGGGACATGCCCACGTTGAGCCCACATTGGGCCAACATCGTTCCCAAACATTCACGTTCCGCCAATGTTTCCCACCTTTACCCAAGACTGGCCCAACGCAACGTGTTATCTGGGATGGGCTCACATAACTTAATCTTCAATACTGATCTATTTTGGGGTCCTGGAAATCTGAAGAAGTGTTTCCCTTCCTCGTTTCCGTCGGATTTATTACAAAAATAGCAGAACACCAGCGTCCGCCATGCTTCGCCATGGAAGACAGCGGCAGACAATTGTAGTTTTCCTCAGCGACCATCAGGTTCGTTGCCTACACAGGGTGGATGACTGCTGATACGCGATATCCAGGAGTGTCCAGTCCTCTTCTATTACTGATCCTTGGCACTAATTTTAGTACTTTCCAGAGAATGGTCCTCCCTTTCCTGCTCTGCAGAATATGCCAACCATTATCTGTCCATTCTACTCCAGAGATGAGGATATGAAGGTTAGAGCTGACGTACATAACCTAGGCATTACGAACTCCTCGGAGTTTTACTTCTACATGTTATTTTTCTTTAAAAGAATAGGAGCTAATGGGGGACTGGCCCCTCTCCCTGATGGTGGGTACACAAGGGGTCCCGCCAGTCCCAGTGAAACCTTCCTGCGAGCGGGCTGGCAGATGCAAGACCCCCTCGCAGCTGATTTAGACAATGGGAATGGCCCCCATTGTCCCGGTAGGAGACCGAAGTTTCTCCTGTCTGTTATACTGATTACTCATTAGTTAGGACAGTTGCAATAGCAGCCTAGAAAAAGATTAGACCTATTCATTAACTTTTAAAGAATGAAGACAGGTTGGGGCTATTTTAGACCCACTTTTAAAGATGATTAATTTCTATATATTTAATAATGGCTTTATATAAGTTTTAGGTACCTATCAGGTGCCCTGTGAGCTACTTGGGATTAACAGGTGCCAGCTGTTAAGAAAACATTATCAGACTCCCTGTTTGTCCAGATAGATAGAGAGGATAATTGTTTGATAAGGCGGATCAGCTGAAAAGAGAGAGATCCTACGATTGACGCTGAGCTGCCTTAATTGGTGGGGGATGGAAGCGATTAGGATAGCTTTGGCTGCAAGGATGTAAGCATAGAGAGTGTAACTAGAGGCGACACTCCGCTCGAATCCCATTCATTGACGGGGTCGCAATATAGATGTCGCTGTCGATCCTCCACCTAGCGGGCGCACATCAACAACTCTTCCATGGCTGAGCAGCGGACTCTACGAGACACGCGTGTTACGTTGAGGGATCCCTTTGGGTCGAATCCCCGAATGAGTCGTTTCCCGATTCCGCTGCCACGAAGCACGCCGCATGGAGGTGTTGTTAACAAGCCATCAGATGTCTCTGTAATATTTCGATCCTCCCCTACCCCTCGGAGTGTCACCTCTAGTTACACTCTCTACTCTATGATGTAAGGGGTGAATAAAATCAAAATGCCCTTGATGGGGTATCTATCCTGTTGGATGAGTTGAGGAGTGAAGGATTGGGAATGGCCCAAAAAGCGGCCGGGGGATAAAGGAATGGTCAAGGGGGAGGTGAAGGTTGGGGGGAGCATGGCTGAAGAGTTGAATCACTTGAGAAATCATCAAATGTCTAGAATCATCCCCACTGGTGATACGACGGCATATGCTGAAAAGGGGATATTCAACTCTGAACGTTCGTCGTCACTACTACTTTTTTTTTTAATTATAAAGTTAGGAGCTAAAGGTATGGTTTGGGCCCTGCTGTCATGCGGTGGACCGACACATGACTCTCGCCCACCATGGTGAGATCCTCCCAACATGAGGGCTGGCAGAGAGCAAGACCCTCATGAAACTAATGACTTAGCCCTGAGAAGGCGACTCATGGCTATGGGGGAGAAGTCAACCCGAGAGAGAGCTGCTTCTCCCCCGGGATCTCTCCCTTGAGGTTTTTTAAAATTATCTTTAGGGGTTTAATTAAAGAGTAAGGAACTATGCGTCCTTATTGAGAAAGCAACCTGAATTTATTTAGGTTAGTATCAGTGTTTTGGGGCGCTTAGTATTTAGGTCCACCTGAGCCGAAGAATAATGAAACCTATAGGGTCCTAGCCATTTTATTTCGTGAGTCAGTAAGGTGTGATTTTATTTAAGTCGATATTATATTTACATCCTATCGGAAGGATTAAGGACAGATGCCCCGAAGATCATAAGGCGTTTGCGGATCCAGCTGGCAGGAAGAACCTTATCAGGTGTCCGCGTGCGAAAGTAAGAGCTGAGAGTTGGTGGGAACGCGCGAAGGGAAGTTTGAGATACTACTACATGCCTGCAAGGGGTTCTCAAAGGGTGGATAAGCTTGTTTACCGCCTGGGCTTCACGATTCTGTCTTGATTGTGGGGATAATAAATGAATAAGTGTCCGATTTTATTGATTGTCATAATGAGACTAAGAAAAGCATACTGTGATGTACTAAACATGCCTGTGAGGGATGATTCCATGAAAAGAGGGAGGTGCACTTTTGTCTACTGGGTGCAAAACAAGACTCACACCTCCATCTACTGGCCTAGAGGAGAACTTCGACGTTTCCAACAAAAAATATTACCCGTGCAAACTGGATCATCGCGTCAGTCGATCGATCATTGGATCGATGATAGAATGCCAATATTGGGAAGCCAACATTTAACAGATATTTAGCCGTTATTGGCAATAATCTCAAGATGTATATTGAGATCGTACCCAATGTTGGTCCAGCATTGAGCCAATATTTGGTGTTACTGGGGTGGTAACACTGGATAGGTTCTTGGTCGTTTCTTGAAAAAAAAAGTGCATTCGCTATTTGACAATGCATGCTTCATGATTCTACCATATATATTTAAAAATGCGATTAAAAAAGGTATCGTAGTGCCATAACACTGCTATAATATTCATGCAACTTTGGACTTTGACTTCAACGTCAATGACACTATTGACTCCTTAGGGGAACGTTCCCATAACGCTATGTCCTTCCCTACTTCCCATAACGCTACCGTAACGGGGAGTGGTGGTAGGCGGGAGGGGGAGGGGCGTATGTAGGAACTTGGGAACTGCCCCCCTATGAAAAATTTCTGTATCCGCTACTGATCCATACAAACCTTTAGCATCGAATTTCGGCAGATAAAATTGAGCTGGAGGAGGAGGCGGTTACCTTTGTGCTTGTGACAACCCTGACGTTGTCCGTGTGCTTCAAGCCTTTCTACTAGAGTTGCCTGCTGGATTCGGAGACCCAACCCAAGACTAGTTCAGGTCCTAGTCTTTTTTGTGGGGGTTGGGTCTGATCGGACCCAGGAGGGGCATATGCCCTTTCAATGGGTCGGCAGGTTCGGGTTTGACACCGCAAGTTAGAATAGGACGGAGTAACAGAAACCATAACCGATCACAAATCTAATTTCGTCTAGTTGCACCATGGAATAGAGAGCGCCACTATTCTCACTTGCATCATTGCACCCACGTGGCATTCATTGTTCCAAGACCTTATTGCTAAGCGGGAGCAATTGTGAGGGGATTCACCAGCATGGTGGGGGAGACGGAAGAGAAAAGTAAAGCGTCTGTTAGAGAAGAGAAGGGGGGAAAACGTGGTCAGAAATCGAGACCAGGTGTTCCTGAGACTCGGAGTGGGAAAGTGTCACTATGTGATTCCTTGGCTGCTGGACGCTTGTTGCAGGGCCTCACTCTTTTTTCCCCTTCCGCATCTTCGTCTTGTTTCGCCATCTCAGCACCATGTGAAGAAAATGCCCAGGAAAGGATGGAAGAGAGGTTGGCTTGGAAGGTACCAGAGGCGATGCAGTGCTCCGCATGCAACATTTCTTTTCCCACTCGGGAAGACCAAGTGCAGCATTACCGCCTGGATTGGCACCGATTCAATCTTAAGCTATCCCTTTTTGGAAAGCCTGCAATATCCGAAGATGCCTTTGAGGCAAAGCTTGGTAGGCCTACATCAATTTCGCATCATTCAGTTAATTTCAATTTACTTAGGATAGAATACTGTGGTGGACTACCAGCAAAGTGGCGCAAGAGATATATCAGTGAAACTAGAGACAATCTGTAAACAATACAAGCCATATTAGGTCACATTTTTTGCTTAATTGATATTGTAAACTGAAACTGAGTCAGTATTAAACTGCCCTTTGGCCTGTATCAGTAACTGAAACTAAAATTAAGATTAAACTGGAACTGAGTTAAACATTGTCCTCTGGACTCCCCCTAGCAAAGCCTGGGATGAGCTGAAACAGCCAGCCTATTCCCTCGAAACAGGTTGTGTGTAATGCTAACTTTGTTTTATTGAGAACCATGACGTCTATGTTACATGGTTTCCTGCTAATGGTAACTAAGCCAGCAGAAATTATCATATGCATCTTCAAAATACATGCTATCATGCTATTCCTCTTTGATTGCCTTATTAGATTTATATTAGATTTATAATGCTTCTTATCCTCAATGAGAGGGTCTTATACTTGCAACAACAAATCAGATTGTGAGGTTCCTGTTATCTTCTCCCTGGGTAACACAGCTGCTGCATTCCCAGTACCTGCACTTTTTAATACATATAGGGTCTTTTGTGAGCACATACAAGTGATACATGGTCAATTCATACATGGTAACATTAGTCTAGGTCAGGAGTGACCCACCATTTTGAACTGGGGGGACATTAGAAAGTAGGTGAAATCTAGAGGACCAAATACATTTGAGTAAATTATTAAAAACTATTAGCAAAGAATGCAATCCAGAAAAATATACTGTGGCACTTAGTTTTGCAAAACACAACTTTGAATGAGTTTTGGGAGATGGATAAGTGTATGTCAGATTAAGCCCATGGGTTGTAGGTTGACCACCCCTGGCCTAAATGAATTATTCTGGAAAGAGGGCTCTAAAAAACTTTAAAGTAAAAATGCATATTATGTGCATATTAACTTCTGTTCATCTCCAATTAATGTAGATTCAATAAAATAATCTGGAACTGTAGTGAATCATTTGTTCAGAGAGCCCTTGTTCACTGAAAATGAACAGAACTAGGCTTAAACTCAGCTGATACTGAGTGAGCTCTTAGTTGAAATTGGGGAACATTGCAGACAATGCCTCTTGGTACAACCGATGGTCATTTTTCATAAGCTTCAAGGATGATCTTCAAGGAGCATCTTGGTTCTACCATAGAATAGTGGGATAGTCCACAATATGCACCTTAATCCTTTCAATGCTATTGTCATATATACACGTCCATCACTTAAAGGATGTACCATTTTTAGTCCATTGCACAGTGTTAGTAAATTTAGCCAACCTGGTGTTCATCTGACATCAATTAATTACCTTCACTATTAAAAGGAATGTGAATAATCCAGATCAGGAATGTAGCCTGGGGGGGGGGGTGCCCTGGGTGTCTGGACACCCCCTAAAAAGAAGCAAGATATCATGAAACAAGGAGTATGGGAGTGAGGGGGTGTGAGGGTGTGAAAAGTTTCACATTTACCACTGAAGTTCCACCTTCTGAATACAATCACTCTTAATCAGTATAGTGCTACTCCCTCCCTGTTTGCTTCCATTGCTCTACCACTCTACAAGTTTTTTTTAGTTCCAGTAGCAAACCATGATTCAGGAGTAGCTTTCACCCACAATATTATGACTAATTCAAGGTCAGTCCTTGACCCATTTCTTGCAAAGAAAAGTTGAAATTTTGGGAAGAGAAGGATAGCCTCCTTCTTTTGAACTACAAGGTGGGTGGGGTTGAAGTCTCAAAAACGCTTTCGAAGTTTTCCTCATTCCTTCCAACCACTCACCTTCCTTGGCCACTTCTTCAGCTCATGAGCCTGAAAGAGCCTCACAAGACCCCCTGAAATTAATTCCTGGCTACATCACTGATTAAGATCAGTACCACCTTTCTTAAAATAGACAAAAGCCTGAATTTGCTCACGTAGTGGGTATTGCCCAACAAAAAACTCAGCATTGCAAGGGTTAAGCTAAGTGTATGGTGGTTGGACTTTAAGTGCTCTTGGGCTGGGATTTTTGAAATGCCAGTCATGGAACACTGTTTTATTATTCACTTTAACTGGGAATTTAAATTGTGGATGAGTAATTTTCCATGTATCTTTAGATAATTATTATGCTTTGAAAGCTTAATTCCAGACACAAAATGATATGACAAAGTAGTGAGTCAGGGTCAGTGATATGAGGCCAGCTGCCTGCTGAAAAGTAAACCTGCTGATGACTTGAGTAGGACAACTAGCCTGATCTTGTGATCCCAGAAGTTTGAGTGGACTCCATGAGGCTGATGAGTTGATCTTTTCTTTAAGTCTCTAATCTAGGGTAAACCCCACTTTCTTATTTAAGATGGAGAGCTGTCGAGTATATCTGGTTCAGAAGAGAGTGAAGAGGAAGAAGAGAATAGAGAGTCATCCCTGCCATTGCAAAAGAATAAAGAGGGTAGAGACAGCATGTTGCCTGGTGGTCAAGGAAAAGTCTGTTTTCAGAACAAGGACGGTCACATCCTCTGTCTTCATCGATGCCTCCTCCATCCTAAGAAGGTTTCTCTTGCAAACAAGCCCAGTTCTTCCCTAGAGGCATCAGTGATCATTTCCTTCATAGTTGTCTTTTACTCCAGGCTCCTGTGGAAAGTGAAAGAGACTTGATAAATCTTGCGCAGACAGCCACAGATCGCATGACATGGGCCATCCTCCTCCTCAGTGGGGGACACTTTGCTGGTGCCATCTTTCGAGGTCCTCTTCATTGTATTGTATACATTCATTGTATACTTCATTGTATACATTCCCTCCTTTGCCTGCTCCTAACTGTTGCATGCCATGGTTGTCATGTTGCATGTACTGTCTATGTTGTATCACAGGCTCAGAATGTGTTGCTCACAAGACCTTTCATGCTTATACAACAAGAGCAAAGCAAGGTGGGACACAGAGTACAAAGGATTCCAAGGCCTCAACTCATTTCCGATCAGCAGGAGCATCCCTGCGTCGCTATAATGAGGCCTCCCTTATAGCAGTCAGTTCTCCTTATTTCTTTTCCTTTTTGCAGAATACTGAATGTCTTGAGAAGCTCAAAGAGAAAATATAACCAACATCAATTGTGATTTTTATTTTCAAGGCCATGACAAAAATTAAATTTGCTTGCTAAATTAACTATCATTAGCACATCCAAGTACTTCTGAGAAGCTGGAAGGAGGTCTTGGAGGGATGTGATCTGGTCTTCTATCGTGCTGGTGTACAAGGTAACAAGGTGTTCTTTGGAGGAAAGGATCCTGTGTTGAAGAAGGAGGATCCTCATCTTCGCACCCTCCCCGTTGTCATCCGTCGCCCCACATTTGCTGAGGTGAAGCGAGTCCATTGCCTCCTTTCCACTCTAGACTGCCTTGGTCAGTTTTTTTCTCTCCTGCCTTTTTCTGATCATCTCATTCCCTGGATATCTGCTTTCAATCCTTAATGTATTTATGGAAAGGAAAGGCCTTGCCAGTGAGGTTACGAAAGTGTGCCAGGAGAAGGGAAAGAAGTCATCCAGAGCAAGGCAAGTGGAAGCAAGGTCATCTCCAAATCGACCCCTTCCAGAAGGGATCTTGGTCCTTGCCAGGGAGCAAGGACCTTGTGACATTGAGGAAAGCCTGAAGGGAGACTCTCTCATTGCCATGGAGACTGGCACAGCCCTTTCCCAACTTCAACTTGACTTCACTCATCTTTCTCATGATTGTGAGCCTCTGTCCTTCATCCTGGTCTTATTATTCATAATGACTTCTTTTATTATTATTCTACTGTATCTTATCCTGGTTTATGTTCATATTCAGGTGGAATAGGGAAGAGCCCTTGGGAGGAAGCTGATTCAGGTAGGCTGTTCAAGAGAAAATACTGTATTCCTGATAGCACTGTGTAGCACATTCAGCCAAGAATGAACCCCCCACTTGATTGGATTTGCAAGGGAGGGCAGGATAATATTTAGCTGTATATAGATGATGATGATGATACTATGGAATGTGTTCCATCAACTCCCAATGCCAAATGCCAAGTTCCCCTTTTCAGGTCACTAAAATCCCTCCCCATGTTGCATGATTATGCTCATGACAGTCTCCCTTTAATGATTATAAGGATGAACAAGGAGTGTTGGATGACTACAGGGAATGGAAAGAACACAGAGCAACTGCACACTGCCAAGGGGAAGGACAACATGGATGAACTATATACATCTGTGAAGACAAACAATGGATATGCCTTTAGTACCTGCTTGGACTCCATGGATGATGCTATGCTAGCTGTTAATGGTGAGGTGGGAGACCCAGAGCGACCTTGTCATCTGCTTCATGTTGCCTCTGATGCTGGGTCCTTGGAAACTCTGAAGTTGCTGTTGGAAGTTGGGGCAGACCCAACCCTCCCAGATTTCTGGGGCAGGGTCCCATATGATGTGGCCAAGGACAAGGATACAAGAAATGTGTTCAGGCGCTTCATGGCTGCTCATCCTCTCCGGTGAGTGTCCTTGCTCCACTCCCAGTATCGTTCACTCCCTCTTACTTCAAAATTCCCCTTCTTTCCAGATATGACTATGTGAAGGCCAAGGTTCCCAGTGGTCTGACAAGTGAGATGGAGGACAAGCAGAGGGAGAAACGGAAAGCTCAACGCACAGCCAAGAAAGAAATGCAGAAAGAGAAAAAGAAAGGAAAGGAGAAGGAGAAAAGGGAAGGAAAGGAACGAGATGTCTTTCTCCAACTCCCCTCATCTGATAAGGTACAAACTCTGACTTTGTATCATCATTTGCACTGGAAACATGATCATGCTATAGATGTTTCTGTGGATTAGATGAATTACTTGTGCTTTTCTATATCATTGATGTATGAGAAGTTAATTGGAATTGCAGCTTCTTTCTTTTATGAAATTGATCACATTAATAGGGTTTTTTTTCCCATGGACAGAGGGAGGTGGAAAGATGTTTCTTGTGTGGAAAAGGCTTGAAGGGTGGAGAAAGATTTCAAGCATTTGAACTCAGTTTTTGCTCGGTGGGATGCGTACGCATCCATCGCTTTGATCGCCCCCTCCCTTCCTGACCAGGTTTCATCACCCCCAACATCCTTTGCCTATGACCATCAATTGCAACTTCATGAGCTTGTGTGTGTGTGTGTGTGTTTCTGTGTGTAATTTAATGATTTTGATATAGAATTAGGAGAGGGATGTCAAAGTCAACCTGGAGTGTATTTTCTGTCACTTGTCCCCTATGTTTGCCAATCTTCTGGATTCTAAAATTGTGCAGCTTTTGATTTGAAAAGAGCTATATACACAATGGAGGGTAATCCCATTTAAATATTCTAGTCTGTTATATATTCTCTGCAACCTACTTAAGACATGAAAAACCATGTTAACAAGGTCATAAAATGAGTTGATTACTTTGCAAACCTCTCATATTATCCACTCCTGATATAGTACCAGCATATATAGCCCTATATAAGGTAGTAATTATGGTGAGTTTTTCAACTTTCTTATGGTGAGATTCAACCATAACAGGAAGAAACTATAGAAACTGGAGGCAATGCAATAAGAATGAATTCTATGGAGATAGTTTAGGAGTAGATGATGAAGTCTGCTCCATTTGCTCCTGTCATATAGAAGTCATTTGTGAACCTTCCATGTGAAAGTTGAGGACCTCATTCATCCCATCTTCTGTTGCTAGAACCTATGAAAGCATGAAACAGATCCAAGTTATTTATATCAAAATTCTTGACCTGATTGTGGGCAAACCTCTCGTATATTGTGCAATTGAAAGTTCATTTCTCTTGTTCCAGTCTATTTAAGTCTTGTTGATAGCTTTTGTCATGATGTGAGCATGGCAAGACAAGCTGAGCCAAGTAGCAATTCTCTTTTGAACAGAAATGGACATAATACTAAATACTATACTTGTTGAAAGTATAATTAATATCGGATAAATACATTTTTTAGTCAAGGTTCAGACTTGAGATGCTCTGGACCAGAGGTATCTGAGATAGATATATCTATATTTTTATCATCTTCATAATTATTTTTCCATCTTTTTATTTTTATGCTTGAAGGTGCTAGCCACCTTCGTTTAATCACTCATGCAGGGATACAGCTCCTCTGGTTGAAATGCTCACTTCAGAGACACTTTGTGGTGGTGGTTGCTGTGTCACAAAAACGTGGCTTGAATTGGAATTGAAATGTACTGTATTTGGCAAATACAGATGAAGTGCAAAAGCATATATTCTATTATGAATTTGTAATCATGCATATATCTTTAACACACTGATATATTTGGTCTATAACGAAACCCCGAAAATTGAAACCTCGAAGGATCTGAAACGGGGAATGACACGAAACGTCGAAGGGGACAAAGCCTCGAATTTAACAGAAGGTGGAAAAAGACCGAAAACGTAGAACTTGCACTCCCAAACCAAGACTGCTGCCCACAGTCATTTCTCCTTTCAATGTCAAATCAATTTCAAATAACGAAGATTTTTCTCTTTTCATGCGCATGATTGTTGCGTTCGCCTTTGTATTAATACCTATTCAGGACGTCCTCAGTACCTATAATTCTCTTCTGCAAATTCCTGAATATGGAAAGTATTGGGTTTGTGGGAAAGTTCTGTCGTTTTTGTTTATGTACAATTGGACTCGTCTCCCAAACACGAATACGTCTAGTGATGACATCCTTTTATACTCTAATCCACAAAGATAAAAACAAAAACAATCGATGATTCATCACTAGCTGTATTCGTATTTGGGAGATAAGTACAATTGTACATAAGCAAAACCGACAGAACTTTCCCGCAAACCCAATAGATTGCAACTCACTTCCGAGAATTTTACGCTGATACACTTACGCTGCATGCGAGGCCGCCTTCGCATTCTGCTTTTCCCCTTCGGCATGTGGAATGTCCATGAGGCATTCGAAAAGCAAAGATCCTCGAACGAACAATTCGGATGAAGGATGGAATCCCAGGTTCTCATCACTCCTGCCATCAGATCATCCAGATTTGTTGACCTTATAAATCCTCCGCCAGGGAGCAGAGTATGTTGGAACGGGAAAGAGAACGACTCTTCATGGGCCATGAACCGAGGCGGCAACGGAAAGACATCCAGCGCGACTGCAGGATTCAGAAAGTTTCTAACGACTATGCAAGCAGAGATGTCCTGGACTATTTCAGAAGTAATGTGCATAATCTGGAGTTTTGAACCCCTCCTTTTGCTTTCAGATAAACACCTGGACAAAAAAAAGTGTCATTCGACTTTTTGGCGATTCGAGTTTCGTCGGTTCTTTCTTTTAGTGCGTTCGAGATACTAGTACATTCGAGGTTTCAGTTTTCTTCGGTTTGTCGTGCTTCAGATATATTTTGTTCAGCTCTGCCTTATCATCATATATGATGAAGTTGAAATAATCAGGGGGGGGGGGGACATCTGAAAATGCCTGAAGGCAGTGTGCAGTGGTTTGGGACCTGCCGTATTTTTTCTAAGTCAGTTAGGAAAGCTGATGGGAATGCAATAATATCCCATTCCCATATAAACTAGAACCTCCCCTGAACTTCTGGAGTGGATATAGCATATTCTTTTTCCATTCATTCATCAAAATTCCGTGCCACAATCCCAGCAAATTCTACATCATTGAAAAACTCTGTCTCCTTTTCCCCAGTACATTACAACTCCTGAGGAAGGTTTGACTTAGCAATCAAGGAAAAACGAAAGGGTCCGTCCTACCTCCAACTCCTCTCCTGCTAGATTTATGTATCATGTTAAAGTAATTGCTCTATGCAACTGTGCATTCCTAATCTCCAAAAAAAGTTTTGGCTTTTGAAATCTGTTGCCAAAAGTAAAGGTGATTGTAGCTATTTCTGAAAGGAATTACAAACACAAGCTTTGTTGCCCAGCCTAAAAATGAGGGTAACCCATATTATGCTACCAGGCTCCACGTTTGAGTTTGTTGTTAAGTTACTCTCTCACCCAGGGTCATGTAATAATAAATAAATTTTCCAGCAAAATCCACATAATAGCTGAACTGCTCTATGAATTGAATGAAGAGAAATTTTTTTTGTAAAGATAAAAGTATAAAATAGCATAAGCATCCTGCTGTCACAGAGCTGCAGTATAGTCATTCCCATTCAACATTCCATACCAAAATTCCAGCAAAAATCAGCGCATTTTATGCCACACAAAGTAAATCCCGTATCCCCCCTGACTACCCTCCTCAGGCAGTAAAGATTGAATAAATATGGAACCGTGATAATTTTTATGGAGAGGAGGTCTAAGTAGAAAGCAAGCAGCTCGTAAGTTCGTTTTGCTTCAAAGCTCAGAGGAAAAATAAACAAACAAATAACCTGAGCCCACACGTTCTGGCTGATATGGCACCTCGGTGCTATTTACCAATAAGGTGTCATCAAGATATATGGTGGGGTTGACTCTGAAACAAAACCAGTGTGCATTATGCTTTATGCGCTGGGATGGTTGCTGGTACAGAAGAAACAACTTTCCACTTTGTACTGAAATACCACTGTAACTGCGTCATGGAGGCTTCATTACTATGTTGAGTGTATATAATGAGTACGTATAGAGTGTTGTGAAGTCCCATGAGCTAATTGTATTGGCTTGATTTGGCTAAATTGGCTTTTCACAGTCAATTTCATCAGTTGTATTGTTTTCGTTTATTCAATTTTCCAGTTTCCGAAGCTACGTTCGAAGACTCCATTCAAGACATGCCCCAGTATTCAAAGCAAGCGCGAAGGGCATTTTTTGTTGATACCTCAGAGCTATTCTTTTTTCCCCTGAAATTTTGGACTATTCAATATTTCATTCCGAAAAAGTTGAAGACGGGAACGTTGGAAAGCCAAAGCAATATTGCTATTAGTTTTATCCCTTACTAGCGAGTTTATAGAACGTGCCTTCGGCAATCTGCGCTCTAAAAAAATGACAGTCACAGATTTCTCGTTTCCTTTTCATTGGCCTTCTTGAGGAGCTCTCAGATTTTCTTTTGAGAAATATCTTAGAAGCTTCGAGGATATTGTATCTTGAGTAAGAGAGTAAGGCTAACCCTTTCAGAGAAATCTTTTATTTTCCTTGGGAACTGGAGGAGACAGTTGTACACATTTGCAAACCGATTTTTTCCTCCATGTCCATAGTAATATGGTACAGAGATGGAGTGAGGTTAAATGAAGGGATTCAGAGGAAGTCGGAGACAAAGATGCGTCGTACATCCGGGACACTCGCGCTAGTCTTCCGATTCCCTCGCTGGATGAGCCAATGGGGTCGAGGCGGCGGGAAGACCCCGCCCAGCACCATCTGGGATTGGCTGCGGCCGAGCACGTGACCCGCCGCATGCGCAACGTGCTGCTGCTGCTGCTGTTGCTGGTGATGCTTTCGGAGGAGTGATGTCACACCCCGGCCACCACCGTGGTGGGGGAGAAGCTTCTTGGGATGCTGATGGAAGGACGGCTCCACCGGGATGAACATCCGGCCCGGTCGAGACATCGGCATGTAAGGAGGGGGTTCACACGAGGAACGGAAGAGGCTCAACGTGGATTCACTTCTTCCAGTCCCGATCCCGGGTAGCACCATAGTCACAGATTCTGCCCCTCTCCGAGGCGCCGGAGGGCTTCCTTTTTCTATCCCAAGACTATCCAGGGCATTCATGGACAGGGAACTTGTCTTCTTCCACCATCCGGACCAATTCTTTCCCGAATCGGGTTCGAATGCCGGATTGTCCAGGCCGAACCCAGAGGGCTTCACTTTCAAGATGAGTTCCCTCGAGGAGTCCGTGGACTCACTGGATCTCGATCTGGATGTGGATTTCGTGTTGGAATTGA